AAACACATGGATTAGGCTAGAAAGATGAAGCAACATATGACAAATATGAGCAGTAGCTTGCTACGGGAAAATAGAGGGCAGAGAGCAAATGAACATAGGGGTTTTACCACAAAAGACCTCGATATTAGTTAGGGTAGGGTAATTCTATTTAAACCCATCGGGTTTCATTGAACCCACCGATGTAGGACTTTAACACTTCCCCTTATATGTAACCCTATTTAGTGATTCACACGTAGAGATCCAAATCGGTAATTGAAACTCAGAGGTCGGCTCACGTTAGGCCCACCTGTTTTCAATGGAACATTTAGTGGTTCACACGTGGAGATCCACATCAGTAATTGAAACTTAGAGGTCGGCTCACGTTTGACCCACTTGTTTTCAATGGAACTTAGCAGTTGTCTTTATATTAAGAGTTCATACTTGTTTCCTTATGAGTGACAAGCCCGTTAGCTTGCACACAAGCTCATTGGCTTGCACGGGCCCGAACCGTGGGCTCTGATACCATGTTAATATTCAAACAATCTTTCATCTCAATAAACTAAACACACGGATTAGGCTAGAAAGATGAAGCAACATATGACAAATATGAGCAGTAGCTTGCTACGGGAAAACAGAGGGCAGAGAGCAAGCGAGGAAACAGAGGGCAGAGAGCTTTTTTCACAAAGAGATATTTTTTGATATTTTTCACAAAGATTTTTTTTTTATTTTTTTTTATGTTGATTGAATGTCCTAGTACCATGTTGGATTTTTGGATCGCTGGGCCCACCCCAGTCTAACAACACCGACGTTGTTCCCTAACTTAACCACTTACCAAATTCGTCAGGTGTGAGGTTTTACCACAAAAGGCCTAGATATTAGTTAGAGTAGGGTAATTCTATTTAAATCCATTGGGTTTCATTGAACCCACTGATGTGGGACTTTAACAATTAGTTGATAGTCTGACGCCAAATTATAGTTGTTTACTTCCATCAACATCTTGTTAGGTGCAACTGCAGCAAGAACATCAACACAGGGAGCAAGAATGTCGGGTTTTAGAATGCTTGGGGTGACGGGGTCTGGTCCTCTTGAAGAGAAATACGCTACTTGCGGTGCCGGTTTTGTCCCCAAATTGGTGTGCACAAAGGTAAGGGTTTTAACTTTAGTTGTAAACGCTTTCGGGGAAGTATGATTCTCCTTCAAATGCGAAGCCGTTGTCTAGAGTCAAGGTAGCAGTGAAAGTACGATCAAGTGTGACAGCTCCTACTGTTGTGATGCAGGGTGCTCCATTGTATGTCGAGTTATCATCAAGACCATCATTCCCAGCACAGCACATACGACAACAATTCCCTTCTCAACTGCTGAAAGAGAACCGATGGCAATGATATCGTTGTAGTAAGGAAGGAAGTCGAATCCAAGAGATAGTGACATGATATCAACACCATCAGAAATCGCCTGATCCATCCCGGCAAGCACATCACTAGCTGCACTCTCTTCTGAATCTCTTACCCACAAGACTTTGTACATGGCAACATGCACGCGGGGTGCCACCCCTCTTGCCGTGCCTTTTGCATATCCGAAATGACTTGCACTGAGCACATGGTTGCCTGCAGCTGTGGATGATGTGTGTGTTCCGTGGCCAAAGAAGTCTCTTGGCGAATCATAGTCACGTTCAGAAATCGGTATACCTGCAGCTTTGAGCCCCTTGCTGAAAGATCGAGCACCAATGAGCTTCTTGTTGCAGAGAGACGGGGTAAATGCAGTTTCATTCTCACACACGCCTTTCCATCTTAATGGTACCTCTGACATTCCCTTATCACTGAAACTCTCACTTTCTGGCCGGATTCCTGTGTCAATAATTCCTATGATCACATCTTGGCCAAATGAGGCATTAGGCCATAGACCGAGGTTCTGCCTAAGTCCAATAAACTTAAGGCTGTGAGTTGTGAACTTCTTGCCAAAAGACTCGGGATATGTGGCAACATGAGCCGGGGATTTCTCCAATCTAGACAGCTGAGAAGGAGTGAGCCTTGCACTGAACCCATGCATTGCTGTATGAGTGCAGCAACATTTCACTGTCATCATCTTTTTCTGCAGGATATGAAGACCACAATGATTTTACGGTGGACTTGTGCCATGCCTCGTGCGTTAAGAATGATTTGGGTTTGTGGGAATGATCCATGTGAATGATGTATGTCTGGATTTCCTCAACATTCGATACTGCATTGTTGATCTGCAACAGCATTAACAACAGAAGTGTGACATGTTGTACAAATCCATCTTTCTACTTATCGATTTGCAAAGAATAGAGCGATTTTCAAGCTTTATAAGAACCATTGTTGATTAGTGAATGATGTTGACCTTCTGTGTTTAAACGCAAAACGTTATGTTCAAGGTTCGATCGAGTTTATAATAAAACTTCTGGTCGGTATTGTCTATGTCAAAACGGAAGGCTTAAATAGAGAAAACAAAAGAGTTACTTGGTTTAATGGTTTATGTCGATGCTACATAAGAGATATTGGACAGGCCTCATTGTTTGAGTTGATACCTGCATTTTTCTTCTTTCTTTTTAATTTTCTTTTTGTTGTTTTTTTGTTTTTTTTTGGTTTTTGTTATATTCTTTTGTTTTTAATCTTAGGAGTTTTAATCTATGTCAATTAAAACCAATATGCATGCCTTAATGTCAAAGCTAACAGAAACTTAGCTATTACATAGTTGTGTAGTAAAATGCCCGTTTGTCTCATCTTGCCTATATATGAGAGAGATAAACGCGTGGTATAGAAGCTCTTTCCGTCAAAGCTACTTAAAAGTGGACGTACTCATGATGTAGATTAATTTTGTACATACTATCCCTCAAGTTTTTATTTTCTTACCCTAGCAATTTTATTGTCACAGTTCTAGTTTGAACTAAAAATTAAGAGGTGTAAAAATCACCTTCCTTTATAACCCTTTATTTGGGAGAAGGATTGAAGACTACACACTACGAATTGACGTTCTCTCTATTTTCAGTAATGAAAAAAATAAAAGAAATTTGATTTGAGTACTACCACCATGAGACATTGAGGGAGACTTACTTACAATTCGTAATGTAGTACAATGCGAGAAAGTTAAACTGTATCATATTGCATCACTCATTTACAATGTTACTCTGACGAATCAAGTGCGTGGATAAGTTATTCTCAACACACTAAGATGTCTACTGCTTACTTAGGAATTATGTTTCTTGTAAAAGCAACCTTTATGCCACAATGGGCAAGGGCATCATCAAAATGCATCGCCCGTTCATAAAAATTGCTTTTTATACAATCTCCATGGTCGATTGGTTGCGTTTTTGCCCCGTAGAAAGGGAAGATGCTACGGTGGTCCATTAAGCAACCACATTCCCTAGATATAGTCTCTTCTCTGATTAGGTCTCAGTGAAAACTTGAGCATCTTAGGTCACCCTCACCATGGAGGGATGAAAGGAATTGAAAATTCAAGTGATCCCAAAATTTAGAAGTCAAAATACTTTTTATTTATCAGATAAGTGATCACATATAAGAATTTGATGCATGATTGCATGTGGTTTATTGTATTTGAACATGGTAAAATAGCAAACTAATAAAGTTTAAGCTTAACCTTGGAACAACATAATTGATGCAATAATATGTGACAAATCTGAGCCGCCACAATATAACTAGTGAAAATGATTGTACATAAGTAGTCGGTTTGTCCAAGTCTCTTTATAGCTTGTTGGTTTTGTAGAACAACCTAGAAAATTTTATTTGGAGCCAATAAACTTTTTTTCACACCTTACTTTTTTTCCACTCTAGATCTCCATTTTCTCCCCAAAATTAATGTGAAAAAAAAAAGAAAAAAGAAAAATAAACTAAACGAAACATAACAATTATCAGCCCCACCACGATGAATTCTAGGGTGAAAGTTCACCACTTTCTGGGACCTTTACTGATGCCGACCACGAAAGTTATCAACCTCACCACCTCAACTTCCACCACTTTTCGGCGTCTCCTCTCCTCTTTATCGTCTTATATTCTCTCCCTCCCCGTACTCTGTTATCTCTTACTCCCTCTTCTTTTATGCCTTCAGGCGATATTCGAATAGGGCAGCCATGAAAGGGGTCTTCATGCTTTTGAGTTTAATTTGAAGTTCCGATGGATTTTGGAGTTTTGAGATTTTATTTCTACAATTGGGCAGCCATGGAAGAGAAGCATCAAAACCCGTGCTTGAATAAATCCTCAAACTCGTGGTGTGGAAAGAGATTTTTATTTTATTTTATTTCAGGTTGAAATAGAAAATTCAAAGAACACTTCTAAAATTGAGTACAGAAAGAGATTATTTAGGTTCTAAAACAATTTCTCTTCACTATATTTTGTTAATGATACTGATATTTACTTCCTTCCACTTGCATTTTGCATGCTTTGTGTACCCCAATTTCCCCATATGCCCTTGTTTTGTGGCGGTCCATACAATGACAAGATGGTCTCCTTGGCCTTGCCAAATTAACAAGAAATTTTCTATTATGATCGGAATACGGATAGTAAATCACATGTTTTTATATAAGTGGTTAAAAATTTTATTTTTTAAGTTATTAACTTTTTAGCATACATATCTTATCATTTATATGATGACACATAGGTATACCATTTTGTATTCCGGTCTCACTGAAAAATTTCTCCAAATGAACGGTCTTCATCTACTTAAATATATTATCCACAACATGCATGGCAATTGGACACCAATAATATATGAGTAATGATAGGGAGACTAAATTTGTGAACTAAATGATGTGTCACCATTAGAAAATTGGCACGTTTATCAATCTTTAAGTAATAATCCACTCATCAACTTCCATGTAATTTAGTTTACAAAATTTAGTCTACAAATTTAATCTCTCTAATATTATTTGATAATATATCATCCATAATATACTCCCAGTTGAGATAATCAGATAGTGATGACGACTTTTTTGTTGGGATTGGTTCCTAAAACGATCCTAAACGGCCTATAAGTTTACAAACCTTACGAATTCATTTGTATTCTAAATTTTTCATATCGTCCCTTGTGCTCAACATCCATGACTAGTTACTATCATGTTTCCTTGTATTTTTGGCTTTCCATTGCCACCATCTCACACCTCGCAATTGTCTCAACCTTTGCTCAATCCCAAAACTATATCATCCACATGGATTCATCAGTGATGCCTAAAGCCTTTTCTGATCACCATTCATGGTACTTGGCAACGTTAGACTCCGCATTAGGCAAGTTTACCCCTAGCACCACTGCGACCTCCTCCTCCTCCGCCCTCTCTTCCAAACTCATTTATAGTTATACTCATGCCATGAATGGTTTCAGTGCAAGTCTCACTGCTTCCGAGCTTGAGGCCTTAAAAAGCTCTCCAGGCTACATTTCTTCAGTGAAAGACTTGCCAGTAAAAAAAGACACAACTCACACCTCCCAGTTTCTTGGCCTCAACTCCAAATCCGGAGCGTGGCCAGTTGCGAATTACGGCAAAGACGTGATCATCGGGTTGGTGGACACGGGCGTTTGGCCAGAAAGTGAAAGCTTTAACGAAGATGGAATGTCAAAAATCCCACCAAGATGGAAAGGAGAATGTGAAAGTGGCACCCAATTCACCTCCTCATTGTGCAACAAAAAGCTTATTGGGGCAAAGTTCTTTAACAAAGGGCTCGTTGCCCAGAATCCCAATTTGACCATTGAGGTGAATTCAACGAGGGACACTGACGGGCATGGGACCCACACCTCGTCTACGGCCGCAGGAAATTACGTGGCCGGGGCATCATTTTTTGGTTACGCCCCAGGAACTGCCAGCGGCAAGGCTCCTAGAGCGCATGTGGCCATGTACAAGGCTTTTGGGATGAGGGAGCATTGTCTTCCGATATAATTGCTGCCATTGAGCAAGCAATTATAGACGGTGTGGATGTTTTGTCCTTGTCATTTGGGTTTGATGGTGTTCATTTGTATGAGGATCCTGTTGCCATAGCAACATGTTCTGCCTTGGAGAGAGGTGTTTTTGTGTCCACATCGGCAGGAAATGAGGGTCCTTTATTTGGTACCTTGCATAATGGTATCCCTTGGGTTCTCACGGTTGCAGCAGGTACAATTGATCGGGAATTCAAAGGAACTGCGCATCATGGAAATGGAAACTCCGTCACGGGGTCCACGCTCTATCCCGGAAATTCATCTTCAACCCAATTTCCAGTTGTTTTCTTTGATGCGTGTAACAACACAAAAACATTGAAGCAGTTGGGGAAGAAGATCGTCGTGTGCCAGGACAGAAATGATACGTTGTACTATCAAGTTTATAATGTCAGCAGCACAAATGTTGCCGGAGGCATCTTCATTACCAGCAACACAGATTTGGAGTTATTCATCCAAAGCATTTTTCCCGCAATCTTTCTGAGTCCAAAGGAAGGTGAAGTGATCAAAGATTACATCAACAGCAACTCACGGCCAAAAGCAAGCTTGGAGTTTCAAAAGACACTTCTTGGGGCCAAACCAGCACCAAGTGTTACCAGCTACTCGTCTAGAGGGCCTTCCTTTAGCTTCCCCCGGACCTTGAAGCCAGACATTCTGGCTCCAGGGTCGTTAGTCTTGGCTGCATGGCCTCAAAATATCTTCGCGGCCATGGTAGGCAAGAAAGACTTGTTTAGTAATTTTAATCTGTTGTCAGGGACATCCATGTCTTGCCCCCATGTAGCTGGAATAGCGGCGCTTCTGAAAGGTGCAAACCCAGAATGGAGCCCTGCTGCTATTAGATCTGCCATGATGACGACATCAGACATATTGGATAACACGGGTAGCCCCATAAAAGACATCGGTGACGCTTACCAGTCAGCTAGTCCTCTAGCCATCGGAGCTGGGCATGTCAACCCTAACAAAGCCCTAGACCCCGGGCTCATTTACGATGCGAAAATTGAAGATTACGTTAACCTTCTTTGTGCACTCAACTACACCAATAAGCAAATCCAAACCATCACTAAATATGCCTCGAACGACTGTTCAACTCCTTCCTTAGATCTTAACTACCCTTCTTTCATTGCATTCTTCAACTCAAACAAGAGGCACTCGGACGTACAAACGACTCATGAATTCCGGAGGACAGTGACCAACCTAGGAAAGGGGCCATCGACCTACGTTGCCAGCGTGGCACCGTTGAAAGGGTTTGTGGTTGGAGTGGTTCCGGAGAAGTTGGAGTTCACGGAGGTGGGTGAGAAGCTGAGCTTTGTGATGAGTATAAAAGGTCCAAGAGTAATGAAAGAGGCGGTGGTTTTTGGTTCTCTGAGTTGGGTGGAGAGTGAAGGTGAACATGTGGTGAGAAGCCCCGTCGTGGCTTCAAGCCTCATCAGTTGATCAGAGATAAGTGTCGCAGCAGAGATAACTTGCCTGCTCTATAGCAAGCATGTGATCATTCCCTTGCTAAATAAAATGGCAATTACAGTTTCAAATAAATATAGGATGTCAGGCTTACAGCAGCTTTGTGTCTGATTAAATTAATTAAAGCCGGCAACTAGCGATTTCAGGTTATTTGTAAGGTTTTGTGTGGTTTGTTAGTCATATACGGTATAGCTTTGTTTATTGGTGAACGTACCGTTGGAACTTTGGAAGACATTAGACTTTGTAAACTGAAAAAAATAAACAATCAACGTTGAATGTTTATTTAAGTTGCATGCATGTGTTGTGCTTGTCGAGTAATTTTTTGACGCGATCGTCACATTCACATGTTGTAGTTGTTATTTCTGGTAGAACACAAATATTTATTTTATTTTATTATCATGGTGTAAGTTTACCAAATATTGACTATGTCATACCTACATTATGACGAATGAATAATTAGTGGCAGACAATGTCAAAGTCGCACTCGTCTAATCAGTTTCATTCGACAAAAACTGACATGGACCCAATCCATATATACCGTAAACAAAGCATGGCTAGGTTCTGTGACTTTGATTAGAGAAACCATTATATTCATGATGTGTGTTTGGATCCAAATTTACATCATCGATCCGTACAATCAAGGTCGTTGAAAATAATTTTGTTATTGTTGAGGGATAATACTATGATTTTTATCATAATTATTATCTTTTAATATGAATTATCTTGGCATATTCTTAAACGGGATAGGATGCAAATTATATCCCCAAACAAGAGGTACAGTTCAAATTAATTTGGGATGTTTGGCGTGAGGTGGTGGTGACAGATTGACAAGTAGCCAGAAATGAATTTAAAATGAATTTCAAATTCATTAAATGGGGATCAGGATGCATGGATGGGTGATGGAATTATGATAAGACAAGAAAGCCTTGGTAGGCTAGGCTTTTAGTCATGATGGGATAAGTCAGGATGGGCTTTTATTATCTTTGAAAAGTCAGCCATCTGAAGATAGGCTTTAGCACCTATGTTGTGGATCAGTCATTCTACGAGTTTGAGTTTCAGTCGGTTTCTACACTATCAAGCCGTGCCAAGCAAAATATATGGCTGTTATAAATACAGAGTCGCAGGCAACATTTAAGCCCCTCCAATTCAACACACAAACTGCCCTGCGCAAACTCTCGCTCTACGCGAAACCTCTCAACAATCTTGAGATTTTTATTTTCTTTTTCCCGCCGACACATTTTCAGTTTGGATAAACAACACTGTGAAGGGCACCATCGAACATCTTCAGTTTGGATAAACAGTATTGTTGCTGTAGAATCAGTCGACCGCGGAGCACCTTCAGTTTGGATAAACAGCATTGCATCGAGGCCGACTGGTTATCTATCGAAGTCTCGGTCGAGAAGGATTTTCGAATCCTTATTAGCAGAGGTCATCTCATTAGCCTTTTTGGCGAAGTAAGGTGTTACAGGTTACTACATTCGGCACATTGAAATTTGAATTTGATATTGAACTTCGTAGAACTAGCAGCCTTGTCTTTAGGCTCTAGAACCCGAAGACCGAGACGTGTTCCTTCCTCAGCCGTAGTCACAAGATCAAGAGGTCAGCAGAGCGCCCAACGTAACATCAACACATTTTACGCCTCGGCCGACGAGTTAGCACGCCCTGCACACAACCGAATAACGTAGTTAGCTTATTAATTACTCGGCCTCCGCGCCACGTAGGCTTGGTAGTTTTTAGGGTCAACATTTTGGCACACCCAGTGGGACCCAGTGCTAAAACTACGAAGTTCACATGATATATCAAGATCTCAATCAGGGTGAGATTTGGTGCCTATTAAAGGAAAATGTCGAGAAGCAACAAAAACTCCTTGACCGGATCCTTGAAGCACATGAAGAAAGGCAAAAATCTTTCTCTCAAATGATAAAGGTGAAGGTTCATCACAGCTTACAAGATCAATGGTCAAATGAAGATAGAGCTCAATTTTATGAGTGGCTTGATAAGAAAACGCCTTTTTGTCTTGGGTTCAAATCAATTCCATTTGAAGAATGGTTAGATCAAAAGATCGGGGGGCAATTTTTTGCTTCGGCCTCAGAAAATTGTCGAAACGGCCAAAGAAGAACCTAGGACACCTTGTTTTTTCGGTTGAGACTGAAAGTGTGGTAGGCCTAGAAGAAAAGGTTCAAGTCTCTGAGCCAAAAATCTACTTAGAAAATGATTCATCAGAATTCTCCAATGGCGAATATGGAAGAGACATGGTCTTAGATGCTAAAGCTACGCCAATTGATATGATTATTAGTGATAAAGCCAATATGGAGAAATCCCGTTTGGCGACGTTATTTGAGTTAAAAGACGAAATTAACAAAGTAATTATGCCTGGGGGGTTTAATACTTGTCCAACACATTCGGCGGCTGATAATGAAAAATATTTCACCAAGTCAAAAGTATTTGGAGATGATTTTTTATTCTGCCTAGAGCAAAATCAAATTGAGAATTTTGATGTAAAAAGATCTCGGCTTGGAATAACGCATCGTTGGCCTTCTCTTGATTATAGTTCGGCCATTTTTATTTTTGTCTAAAAAAAAAAGGAATAATATTATTTTCTTAACCATTCACCCTTTCAGGCCGATACGTAAGAAAATAAGGGGGCAGCATGTGGTATAATCGGCGGTTAAGTTTTTTTAGTCTCGTCGAGAGAGATTATTTACTGATATGCTGCGTGCAACAAGAAAGGCCACCCGTGTTGTAGTAGGTCTCCGCATGGCCTAACCTATTCACCCTATGGGATGGGCATTTGGTGGTTAATATCCGCAAGTATTTGGTTTGCCCAATTATTAGTCAGACAAGATTATTGGTCAGAGGAAGAAAAGAAAAAGCATAAGATAATTAGGTGATAGGCCACCCATTTGTGGTGGGCCATACGTGCCTAATCTTGGCCAATTAGTGAGGGTTGCTATTCAAAGGATTTTATTGCGTGGCTTTGGTTCAAGTTGCATTTATTTTAGTGGAATTTTCAACATTTTTAGTTCAGACTGGGAACTTCAGTTTGGTTTAGAAGGAAGTCACCACAGTTCAATGGATATCAAGGACTTGATCTCAATGTTCGAGGGTTGTTGGTTGAGCTCGACCATAGTATAATTTAGCGAGGCAACGTTTACAACAGAATGAAGTCCCACCGAATTGAAATTAATCATGGCATGAACTGTTCCAGCATGAGGTGTTACATTTCGGCATCAAAGCAAAAGTTGTATCATGGCATGCAAATTTGAGTCTCGGCCAAAAAATATATCATGCCGAACCATTCAATGCATGCTTGCAGCTTCATGGGCAAGTATGTATATGTGTGTGTGTGTGTGTGTGTGTGTGTGTGTAGCCAACTGTTTGCCAAGCTAAGCAAGCATGAGCTGGTGTTCAGCACAAGTTACCATAAGCTCATTCGACCTGCAGTAAATATATATATGCTTACATGAAAAAGTGTTTATGTAATGTGTGCTGCCATGATTTCTGCGTTGCTGACTTTGATTGATGACAGGCCAAGCTACCAAGAGTGGTTTGTCTCGGCCCCCAATCTCAATGGAGACACTTGTTTTGGTTTTCCCAGAATTTCTTCAAGTTTTTTGACTTAAAAAGCATCAAATAAATAAGGATGTTATTCGGTGAGTTTAGCAGAGATATTTGGTGAAGCTGGGAGTCAGAAAAGAATAAAATGAGATAGAAATATGCATGGCTGACAACATTATTCCAAGTTGGACAAAATACGCCAATAGGCCAAGATTTGATTTTGTTTTTTTATGGCCTTGGTTATATATACACACCAAATGGGGGGAACATATACCAAATTAAATTATTATCAGAGATAGATTAGACGGTAAAACCGTCCATAGAATTAAGACTCCGGAAATAGAAGATGTATAAAGAACCTAACAATTCAATATATTGAATGATAAAGAAATGAGGTTGGTTGAAATGGAATATCCATGGATGGCAGATAATAACATAAATGCATACAATTAAATTGAATGTATTTGATATATCCATGAAAATGATGAATTAAAATTAATGATGCAAGTAATTTATGAAAATAAGTTTTTATTAAAACTTACTGTAGTTTACAAACTGTTTTTGCCTAATGGCAGATGAAGAACATAGTCAACATGGTGCTCGCAGGCATCCTTAGTAATACAACTTATAAGTGTTTGAATATTTTCTGAGTGTTTTCTTCTGTTCTTTCGAATACACAGAAGATTTTTCTTTTCGACTAAAGTCCCCGTCTGCTGAGAATGAGCTCCCCTTTTATCCTGCTGAGAGGAATGATTGATGCTGAGAGAATTGAGCCAGGAATCCTACTTGCATGTGCTGAAAGCTGTTAAAGGTTGGCAAATGATGAAGATTTACTATGGATTCACATTGTGTCTTCAGAAAAGCTAGATGAATAGTAACTTGTCTGTTTTTTACTGTTGATGAACAGTAATCTGTCAGGAATCTGAAATGATGACTGTTACTGCTGATGATGCTTTTCAGGATACGATCACATGGGAAATTATTACAACTTTTGAATTTCAAATGTCATATGGATCTTGGGCATCTGGATAGTCCGACCATTTGACCGGATGCTGAGACAAAGCGTCCGATGAGTCTGAATCTGAGTCTTCTCTTTTGTGGAGCATTGCTGCTTCTGCCATCAGCTGTTGGGCCAAGTCAAGGAGTTGGGAAGATTTTGAGGATTTCTCTTTTTTCTTCGAACTGGAGGATTTGGAAGACTTCGATTTTCCTTTGAGAGGAGATGAAGGACTAATGTCTGATAGTGACTGAACTTGTTCCTGAGTTTTTGGTAGTTCAGGAAATTGCTAGTTTTTTGGCAAAGCCTGTGTTGAAGGTGTGGAGATTGGCGGGGTTGGTATCAGGGGAAATTCTGATTTTACTAAATCTATGATTTTTTTTATGGTTGAATTTTTCTCACCATTTTACTCATCAGGATTCTGTAAATACCGCCACAGTCTGCTTCAAAATTCCATTTCAAGATCCCTAGGATTTTGTATTTGGCCATGAATAATGAAAAGAGGGAAACCCTGCTGTCAAAGCGGCTATGATCAAATTTGTTCTGGAAGCCAGCAATGAGGGCTTGACGAAGGTCATCTGGAATGGGGTTAACATTTGACCCATGACAAGCCCACCATTCTGGAAACCATCTGATTTTAACTTTAAACTTTTGTCAAAAGTTATGAACCATGAATGATTGAAATCAGCCGTCTGGTGAAGAAAAATATTAGTCCATGCTTGGATATAATCATAAT